AAAAAAAAAAAAAAATAAATATGAAAAACCAAGAAAATATTTAAAAAAATATTCCTTTACCCATTAACATCCCTATTTGTTTTAAAACGTACACGTCGTCATGAATTTCAAACTTATCGTTAAAATGAAACAAATATTCCATCCTGAAATAAAGTAGAAATAATAAATAAAATCATCAAAAGAAAAGTGCGAATGTCCTTACTTATCATTCGAAATACTACAGTCGATAACAGTCTTTTTGTTTGTATTGACAACAATAAAAGGCAACTGAATAAAGGAATTTGGAGCCGGAGACCCGTGCACTTGCTCCCTGTACTGGTTGCGAAGCGCTAAATTTTTGAAAGCGATCTGATTTAATATGAGGTCGTGTAATTTTTGAGTCTTTTCCCTGATACTTTCGATTCGCTTCTTTTTTTCTCTTTCAAGCTGTATGCATTCCTGGAGGGAATTCGTTGGAAGACCGAGCCATCTGATTTCTTTTTTCTCTTTAGAAATAATGTTCATTGCCATCAGAACGTTAAGCGCATCGTACACGCGTCGCCTGATATTTTTTTGGTCATATTGCTGAAAAAAAACTATGTTTAAATACCAATCTCTTAAGTTACGTTTTTCATTATATACTAGTGGATGCATTGTGCAGAGATACACTACAAAGAAATCATCAAAGGTTAAATTTCCTTGTTATTAGAACTCTAAAAATAATCTAAGCCCAAAATGAAAACAAAATCCATTAATTTTTAGGGATCTTGCCAAGCTAAGGGCTCAAACATTGCTTCTCGTTATGTATATGATTTCGGTTTTAAATGAAAAAAAAAGTACTTGGTACCTGGTCTGCTATTGTACTGTTCATGGCATCTGTGAATTCTCCTACTAATTCGTCTGCTACTTCATTGTAAGAAGTTGTACCCTTCTTTCTTACTTTTTCGCATACTTTCATGGAAAAATGTCTAAGCCCTTTGCCAACCTTCTCTGTCTTTCTTCGTTTGCTGAAAAATAAATATTCATTCAAACAAAAAATTACTTAAAATTATTTAAGAGAAGGATTGATATTTTTTGGATAAAATTCAGTTTATATTTACAATGCAGAATGTTCTGGAACGTTCATTTAATAAAAAAAGATGCTCTCGTGAAATTTTTATCAGTATTTCTTTTCTATCATGCCTTTGGGTCTATTTTAAATGGCTCATCAGCGAGATAAAATCCATAATGCTGTTCGGAGAATCGGGCTACAAAGAAATCTATTTTGCAAAATAACTTTGCGAAAAACTCCGGGTTCAATATAAGCAAGGTTTGAAAACAAAATCTTTATTACAAGAATTTTGTCAAGCAACTTGCTGTAATATTCTGTTAAAATTACTAATCATAAAGTTAATGTGTTATTCTAAGAAAAATATTTTTAAGATATCCTCTCATTTATATTTTGTTAATAATTTCACGAATGAATGGGCTAAGATTTTTATTCTATTAAAGGCTTTATCGTTTTTCATTTTCTATCTTTAGATAGAAGTAGAACATTTTAATGGAATACATTCCGTCAAAAATCCATGGATAGCCAATTAAAATTAAAAATTAGCGTTAATCAAACAACTTATTTTTAGTTCATTAGAATGTTCCACTATGAATAATTATTAAATTCTTTTAACTAATATGAAATTAATATTACACAAAATTAAATAGAATAATCGAATAAAGGCAAAACCAGTAGATCATTTTGACCTTGCATAATCCTCTATATTTAGTGTAACAAATATTAGTATGGGCGTTTTCGTGCTATGTAGGTGATATAAATGCCATTCATTATGTATCATTTAGAAAGATGTAAGATTTTCACGATCAACAGTTTAAAACAAGTAAAAGAAAGAACACCCCGTACAGTATCTTTATAGACATGAAGAAAAAACTAATTCGCAAACCGCTTTACCGCTTTACATTACATTTATTACATATTTTAATATTATGGTATCAAAAGGGTTGTTTTTTTATCGGCAAGTAAAATTATGTGGTTGTATTTGTAAAAGTTAAGTTTTTTTTTTTATATTAAATTGGCACGATAATAAAATAGCACAACATGGGTTGACGATTGAAAATATTAGTATTCTGATAAATGACTTTGTGATAATTAACTTAATCTGTTGTATTATGTGCTAAATTTAGCATGTACCATTGAAATTTCGCATACGATAACACTAAAAGTGCAGAGTTTACTAAGGAACATTAATTTAATCAAACATACTAAAAACTTTGCCTAACTACAATACATAGAGCAAAGTCGAATTTGGAGATATAAAAAATGTACATGCATGTACATACTATACGTGTGAATAAGAACACCTACGAACAATATGCTGCAGGGATCACTAATTCTGTTATTAATGTATGATTCTATGATACATTCAAAATGCTTAGTGGACTCCTTCATAAAATTCAGTTGGATAGCATACAAATTAACCAAACGCATGGCTAGCTTTTTAAAATTACCATCTTTCCAAAAAAAATATCAATCAATTGTCGTCAAAGTGCAAACTATAAGAACAGTGCCCAAAATAACGACTTTGACTATAGAACACTTAACTTTGTGAAAGGTGATTGTTTATATACTATTTTTTGAAGGAAGGCACATAGTGGGCGAGTAGATACTCTAATTAATACAAACAAAAATCACATTTGGGTTCTATTGAAGGAACGAGTACGTCTTCATTTGTATGCATGTGAAACTATACGCTATGAATACTCCTCATTTTTTGTAACAACAAATTAATCAGTTCGCTGTTAAAAAATTAGGTAAAATTTTTCTGAGAATGCTTTTATCATTTATGAGACACTTCTCATAAGCCAGTCGAAAAATAAAACTTCATAATGCAACGGAAGTTGCGCGCGCACATTGACAAAAAATTGACTGTATGAAGTTAGTAGCGTGACTGCAAGTTAGCGAGCGAGGTGTATCCAATCAGCGATTACCGTCGTTCGTTGATTGGGGCGAGTTCGTACTCTGGTAATATATACGGTTATTATTATGAATATACCGGCTAAATAAATACGTAATTTTTTATATATATACGACATTATAAAACTTACTACTCTGGTGCAAAATCGGCATCGATTGTGTCTTGTCGCTTTCTGGCCCCACTGTGGTCCAAAATTGGCGGCGAAATATACATTTTCGCCGTCGTGGTCTGATTCGACGGAGACGTTTGCGGTACGACCGGTATCGCTGCTGGACTTTGAATTTGTACTTTTTGAGGTGTGGATGCGTTTATTATTTTAAAATTATGCTACGAAAATAACTTACGCTATATCAACAATTATTACCAACAAATCCGGATGAGATTGGAAAACTTACATTTGACGGATTTAATCTAACTGTCCTTTGGATATACTGTCCATCTGGTCCTTTCTGTGATAGTCGGGCTAAAGTACCTGCTGGTAACGACGTTTCTAAAAAAAAATTAAATACGATAATCCGCAATCGAACGATTGGCAACACGAGCCATTTTGGATTACCAATTCTGACGTTTTGTTGTCATTTGTACAGCATAAATTTATATAAATTACAAAATTATTTGACCGTTTAGATTTTCAAAATCAGGTCTGTATCATAATTTTTTTTTGGTATGTAGATCGATGCTGCGAAAAGTGAAACTAGGAAATTTTATTTGCGTAAATGAATTAATTACAGCTTTAATTTAATTAAAACGAAATTTTCAATGTAATTAAAATATCCAGTCTAACACTGAACGAAAGATACCTTCTTAAGGTTAATTAAAGCGTAACTTCAATACGCTAATTAGATCAACTAGTAAAAAAAGTAGCCAAAACTCCGGGATATCGACTCAAAATGCTTTTTAAATTTTATCGAAGGGAACAAAATAACGTCACTCTGTAGATTGTGTGTTGAAACTACAGGCTACAGATTAGGGTCTGTATGTAACCAAACATACGTGATTAAGTCATTTACGCTTGTGTATATGACCCTACTGACATTATATTTAATTTTTTATATTAATTCTTTTATTCTAGACAGCGTTTAGTAACATATAATATAAAACTTACTTGTGATAACTTTTTGCGGCGTTATCGTTCGTAATACCGGTGATCCTGTCTGAAAACAAAATTGACTACATTAGGATTTAAAAATTAAAATTGTATTTAACGCTGGTCAACTTTCTAATCAACAATTCTGATAATCTTTTAATTCTGAGCTAATTATTTAGTAATTTATCATAGTTCAGATCCGACAATATTTATTGACATATTGAATTGAATATTACAAAAAATTATTACTATAAACAAAACTCGAACAAAAAACCTTCATGATTATCAAAAACATTGACGGTATGACATACTGCCAAAGACCCATTGCTTGTAAGATGAAAACGTTATAAAATAACGGTCCCTTTTGATTGCGGGTACAAATGCAAATACATATATATACACCAATATACATATGTCTATGTATAATATGTACTGTACTTTTTGTATAGAAGCATTTGTAATAACGGCCCCTTCGAATTCCTATACTATTCCTGCACACATAATACACGTGTGGTTTTTAGTCTAAGGGGGTGAGAGTCGGTTGAAGGCAAGGGGGCACCTGTCATGTACCTAGGGGAGCCAGCATGATAGGAAAAGGCACCATCTGTTGATTCATAGACGCGGAATAAACAATGATGCAAGAAAAATCTACATCAAACAATTCTTAAGGTGAAATAGTGAACACGATGAACCCATTTATTATTAAGCTATACGAAATAAAGTACATTTCCTACAACATTTACGAATTTATTTATTTTAATAATTTTTATCATCATCGAAAGGTCGTCACTCCTATCATTGGTTGGACACGCACCTCCACTCTTTCCTATCCTGAGCTAATCTTCGCATTTCCCTAAAACTTGAACATCCCACATCCTTAACTATTTGCGAACAGTAATCTAATCTTGGTCTATCTTCATCCCTTCTAAATCCTGTTTCTGCCTCTAATATGTCTTTGACTAGACCTTCATGCCCGAGAAAGTGTCCTACCAACCTATCTCGCCTACTTCTTATTGACTTCCACAGTCTTCTATTCTCCTATTGTTTCTAACACCTCTTCATTTTTAACCTTCCTTATCCACGTTATCCTCATCATCCGCCTGTGACACCACGCTCCTTCTTTTCCGCCGCACTAATCGTCCATGTTTCGCACTCGTACAGAGCCGCTCTCCAAATATACACCTTTAACAATCTTTTTCGAATTTATAAATTAACCGTTGGCGAGGATAGAAATGACTTCTTTTTATTGAAAGCGACTCGACCCTGCACATTCCTCTGCTTTGTATCCCTACTATTCCTTCCGTCCTGACTTCCTAGATACCTAAAATCGGTCACTTCTTCTAATTTTTCGTCTTCTATCTTTATATTCGCTCTTTCCCTACTTTTTCTTCCATTATATACCAGTATTTTTGTTTTACTTCTATTTATTTTTTCACTATTTCTTTTTTCTGTCGATTTCTCCATTGTTACCAGTAAAGCTAGAACGACCTCCCGCGTTCCTCTGTTTCTTCTAAACCCAAATTGATCTTCCCCTAACAATTCTTCCGCCCTTTTTTCTATCCTCCTCGGTACAATTCTTATTATGATTTTTGACGTATGGGAAGTTACGCTAATTGTTCTAAATGTCTTGCACTTATCCAGACCTATCTTTTTAGGTATGGTTACTACCACGTTCCGTTTATAATCCTCTGGGACTTTCCCCGTCTCGTAAATGTGACTAACTAGCTTAAACATGTGATGTCTAACCTCTTGTCCTGCATGTTTAAGAATTTCCCCCTGTATCTCATCTATACCTTGCACCTTCTTATTCTTTATGTTTTTTAATGCTACATCGAATTTTTTTCTCATTATGGGATGATCTAGCTCATCTATCTATAGACTATTTTCCTTGTCTAATATATCTCCTAACCCATGGCCTGCGTATAGATTCTCTAAATATTCTTTCCACCTATCTGCCTTTTCCCCATTTTCTACCAAAATGATCCCTGCCTCGTTTCTTATATTATTACTACTGTACCCTACATCTCTAAAATTCTTTTTAATTATATTATAAGCCTAATCCATTTTACCTACTTCTAACCTTTCTTCTCCATTTTTACACCTCATATCAATCCACTGTTTCTCAGCTGCCCTGCACTTCCTAATTATCTCCCACTTTATAGCCTTACATCTTTTTTTTCCCTTTTTCTATTAATCCTAAAATCTCATTTGTTATCCAGGGTGTCCTGGTTTTGTTTTTTTTAAGACCTAGTATATATGTAGCTGCTGACCTTAGGCACGTTTTAATGCAGTTCCATTCTTTATAATAATAGCAAAATATGTGCTTAGAATTATTAAAAAAACGTATCAGTATCGTAAAGTATCAGATTAAATGAACAATACCAAACTAAATACGACCAGTACCAAGATTGGGACTAATGATTATAAATTCTGCAAGTCACCAAAATACTGTTTCAAAATAAATTAATTAATAATTTCTATCAATAAAATGACATAGAATCGATTTCGATAACGTACAAAGCTTGTAAGTATAGTAAATATAAAAATTTCCTGATTTTTTTTCAACATCAAATGACAATGACACTACACTTCGGGAAATTGCTTTTTAATAATTCACTTGCGGACAGTAGTTGAATCAAGGATAATAAAGCAAGTAAAAAAGAACAGAATGCTTAGCTGAGAAATATCAGATTGACGCAACAATTGCAACGTTTATTTTGTAGATTACTTTTTAATTAGCATCAACCATTAATTGAACGTTTGTTTTGAAATAAGGTTTGGGTAAGTTGTAGAGAATGTTGGTTTTAATCTTGTATCATGAAAACCTACTTGAAGATTCCGATTGCTACTCGCGACATCCAATATGGGACAACAATAAATTATTAATGTAAAGTATTTTTCAAAATAATTTATGAAAGATCGCAGAATAAGATGAAGTAATCGGCCTTCGAATGGATTGTTTTGATATTTTTCAACTGCTACATTATCGGTTATTTTCCTCAATTTTCAAAAAAGTTTTCTGAAGATATATGCCTATCTTTTAAACCCAAAAACCAAAGAAGCAATTTTTAAATATATTATATTTAAAAAATTGGATAAGAAATATCAGTATATACGAAATTCTTTTTTAATACTCAATATCTCTATCTCCATGGAGTATCGGCAAAATTACCAATAATATATCATTGTAGAATCAGAGTGGAATTTATTTAATAATTAAATAATAATTTTTTATAACCACTAATAATGAGAACATTAAATACGAATAGAAAATACTACAAATGGCGCGGTAAACGCCATCTGTAGTACGATGCTACATTTTAGGATTACGTATGCTTCAACAAGATCCATTTAAATATATGGATATCTACTTGCTGAAACGAATACCGGCATAGGTAACCTCAACGTGATAGGCACGTTACCATAATCTAATGAAATAATTCGAAGTGGTCTGTATTCTGTCGAAACTGCCAGACGCGGATCGCTATTTCGATCTTTTTGGATCTCATCAGCGCGTCGTAGGCAGGGATTCGTTTCAGCAAGTAGATATCCATATATTTAAATGGACCTTGCTGGAGAATACGTAATCCTAAAATGTAACATCGTACTACAGATGGCGTTTACCGCGCCATTTGTAGTATTTTCTAAAAGGCGCTGTTAAGACAGCAGGTAAAAGTTGGTCTGTGTTCTGTCGGGCTGCCTGCGACGCGCTGATGAGATCCAAAAAGATCGAAATCGCGATCCGCGTCTTTCAGTTTCGACAAAATACAGACCACTTCGAATTATTTTATTAAATACGAATATTTTATTATTTTACTTAAGCGTTATGTACTATTCTCATAAATTTGAAAGAAAATGTCCATGTGTGGTAAAATCTTAAAACTTCCACAAAAAATGGTAATTTTGCTTAGGTTGATGCCGACAACATAAGAAAAAAAGAAAATTAAAAATGTAAAACGCATGTGGGGCCAATGTGAATGTCAAATGACAAGTAGGTAATTATTAAAATTGTTACTGTTCTGAAATGTACCGTTTCTATTTCGGTTCTGTACTTGTTTTCATTTTCGTACGCAGAGGTTGATTGAAGAAACCAATTGTCCAAGGTTGACTTTTTACGTTAAATCGTAGCCTTAATTTACCGTAGTCACGTAATAATGTACACCTAATTTAACATAAGTCGACATTTCAACAGGAAAATTATCAATCTTCCCCCTAACAAGCACCACATTTATAATATGTAGAATCAGTGACAGGTTCATGTTCTGGTCCACGTAATTACATGGGCAAGATTTGAAGAAACGAACTGAATTACGTAAAAAAAATGTGTGTTATAAAAGAATTTTCCATTTTCATTACGGACAATATGCTACCGTGTATTGTGTTTTACTGTAATTGGAATGAATTCATTTGGCATTGTCACATACATATAACCCGACTAGAATTTATAAGGGGCATGTCCTATGTAGCGTGCAGGCCTCATGTGGTTAATGAGGGGCATGTCGATATAAGGATTTCCTCGTAGATTCCTCATGAAAATCCCACCAAAAGAACTGGTGATACTGAAATGAGGATTGCCTTATGGGTTTTTCATATGGGTCTTAAGGGGCAAACCTATCAGACGTATAAACTTACAATTAAATCTACCTTATGGGGGCTCGATGAGGCAAATCCGTTTGAAAACACTCTCGGTTAAATGAAAAAACTTATGCACTTCCTGATGTTATTATAAGACAACTGAAACTAGACGCATCAAGTTGAACAACAGTAAAACGATTGTAATTTAAAAAATTTTATTGGTCACAAAAGAGCCCAATAACACAATCTTATTTAAGAGCAAACGTATTTTACAAATAAGTGTGTTGAAGTTTGCGAAAAACTACTACGAAAAAGAAAATTCCTTTATACGTATCCATGCGATGCTAAATTCTGCAAACAATGAAAATATTACCTACTACTTGTAAAATCAAAGATATGTTAATAAAAAATGGTTTATCTTAATGTTAGTGTCGAAAGTAAAGAAATAATATATATTATACGGTTGCTACATATGTAAAAGTGAACAGTTTCTCATTGGTAGAATATATTTCTCATTCAATTTTGTATTTCTTTTATTAATAAT